CAGGGGGTGGTCTTAACTCCTTGCTGTATTATGAAGACTGCCAGAGGCAGCACAGTGCAGCCTGTGAGGTTCCACTGTTCAGAGTTTGAGTAAGCCAAAAGACGTGAAGCCAGTCCCATGGCTCACTAGGCTTGGATCAGTCACGTTGACAAATACTGAAGAACCCGGATGCATCTCAAATACTCCTCCCAAGTGCATGGATTGTTGCCTGCAATACTTGGAGGAGGAAATGTGGGTATTTGCTGCTCTGAGTAAGATTCTCTCGGATCCGCTCACAGACCTCAGGCAAAGGCTGGCCATAAATGGAGCTTGACTCGAAGCATCTTGGTTGGAACAGAAGGTGACTTGAGCATAGATATAATACAGTCCTTGTCTTTTAACACTCAGCTGTTTCCCATTTTCAAGGGTTACCATGTTGTTGCTCATGGTGTAATACCCTTTTTCGGCCCACTGTAGAACTGTAAGGAAGAGGGGAAAACTTGTGGTGAAGTGAAGCAGAGCTTGGCTTACATTCTAACAGAAAATAGGTTTGTGTTGGATAGGAATGAATTTTCAAGGCCCCCTCTAGCCCTCAGAGTCTGTGGAGTAGTTAGGCTAACATATAGGCATGGACTTTAGAGTCATAGAACCGGGTTCCAATCCAGCCTTTATTCAAGTTTTGGCAAGTCCCTTAAGTCTCCCTGAGTGACACAGAGCATATTTCAAAAACTTGTGGCAATTAAATGAAGTAACAGATCACAGGGGGCTTCCTTCTTTCTTTAGAGTTTTTAAAGCTAATTTACCCTTGAACTTAAGAGAGTGAAAATGATTTCAAAATTTTATGTCATAAATCATGCATACAAATTATTTGGACAAAATCCTTGCTAATATTAACACTGATACCTTGCTTGCTTTGAATTTTGCAGAATTGTCAGTTTACCTAACTCAGCTTCAGCACAGAGAAAAGACCCCATTTCTTCCTACCTGATTAAGCTGTTACAAACCCTACCTACCTCCCACAGGAAGGACTAAAATTAGGCAAGGAAGTGTGAAAATAAACTGGGTGTTCATTTCACTGTTGGTTTTGATCTCCTGTTTTAGTGGGCGCCACCAACTTGAAAGTACCTGTATTCTTGTGGCTAAGCCAGAGTACCCACCAACAGTGTGCCATTTTCTCGGTGGAGATGTTGAGTGGGTTCAAAGTAATGTGTATACCCAATTTCAAATCTCAGTTCCCACAGAGCGCTAGACCGATAACAGAGGTAGGGGTTGAGGAGGAGTGAAAGTATTGAAGAGTCTGCTTCCTTGAACTTTCTTTTAAAAATAAAAATAAAAGCCTATTTGGTGGTCTTAGGCCTATCAGGTCACAAGATCATGCATGCTAAAACTCACCTTTTAGTGATAGAGAGGCATTCTGAAATGCCTGACCTATCTGAGCCTTCCAGACCAATCCAGAAAACACATTTCATTAAGATGTTTTCAATTTTGGACTACTTGAGAAGGAAGGGCAGATTCCTTTTTAGTCCACTACATTTACTTTGGTAAATGCTTATGCAATTTTAGGCATTGCTGTGGGATGAAGGGCAAGTTTGCAGCAACATGACCAGGTAGAAATGAGAGACTTAAGACTGGGGTGAGATGTTGCTGTTCTTCCACCTGATTTTCTGCAGATTTACTACGATGTAATCTACAGGATCTTGTAAGATCAGTATCAATCATGAGCCCTTTAGGAGAATCTAGGCTCCATGAAACACCCAGGGGCATGTATTTAGATATAGGTTTTTCTGTTGCTGCTATCCAATCCAAAAGAGAAACTCTCATGTGGATGACCACCCTGGATATGGCAATATAGTGGTGATATTCTTCCATGACTGTATTTTCTGAAAAAGGGATACTTTTAAATAATATTATATATTGTGGAAATAACTGGTATTAATAAGTGGCTTTATTCACCCTTTTGACATTTAAACTACAGGGAAGTAACTACATAATAGCACCTTATATTTGCATAGCACTAGACAGGATAACTTTCTTCCACATGAGCTGATGTGATACTGTGCCACTCTGTGAAGTAGGTCAGGCAGGAAACTGCTAGGTAGGTAAAGGGACTTGCCCAAGGTCACCCAGCAAGTGGGGGTCTTGGTTCTTGAATCCTAATGTTCAAAGCCTCCCTATCTAATGCTCTTATTCCCATACCATGATCCATGGTAACCATGCATGTGCTATACCCATTTGGAAGCTCACATCAAAGACAAAGTGGTATCTCTTTACTCTCTCTTTCTCTCTCTCTCTCTCTCTCTCTCTCTCTCTCTCTCTCACACACACACACACACACACACACACACACACACTGCTTAGAACTACATTTCGGAACACCCTCTGCTGAATTTCTCAAAGACTACTCTATTGCTCTTGCCTTTGTGCAGATGGGGGATTTTATGCTCACATTGCATGTTTTCATCCATTTATCAGATATGACATAGTCTCCAGCACCAGTTATCACCAGCTTCAGATTTGGGGAAAAAAAATCTAAGGGCTAGAATGATGGTGGAATGTATATGGAAATAAAATTGCCCAGAGTTGAAAAGATCACAGTATGTCGTCTGTTGTTACTTCATTGGAAAATCTAACGTCTTGGCACCTATTGATCTTTACAGAATGATTTTACCTTTAATTTCCCTGAGGTTGGCCCCAGTGAGGCTGAGGTTAATCATACAGGGATTGACAGATGGCAGGAAATACCTCCTGAGGCCCATTTTTGCACAGCGAAAAGGGGGTTAGGAGGAGGGATGCCCGCAGCCAGGAGGTCACTACCTGCCATCTCTTCTATGTTCTCAGAATAATGGTCCCTCTGCCTAGTAATTCATCATTTAGAATCAACCATTGAGCAAGAAACATAATGAGAACATCCATTAGATTGCCTCCCACCTCCTTTTGTCCCTCTAAGTCCTATTTGTGCATTTGAGCTCACTTTGAAGACAAAAGAGAGCATATGAGGGGTATATGGGCAGGTTTGTAAATTGGGCCCCAGAGGAAGAGAGGATCCTAATCATTAGGCTGCGTTGCTTTGGCATCCAAGTCTTCCCTTTGGGTGGCTGACATTCAGATGCTATGGGACTTACCAGATGCTGTTTTACTACTGGCCTCACTTATGACATGTGCTGCAATTTGAGGCTCATGGTCACCTGAAATGAAATCGAAAGCAAACTGTCAAGCCAAGGTCATATAAAACTGTTCACAGATTTGATCTGGTTCTATAACAATGGAATAGAGAAAAAATAAGTGAAGAAAAATTGCATAAAAGGAAGGATAGAATGATCTGTATTTCCTCTCACTGAAGGAAAAGTTGGTTTCTAATACCTTAGTAATTGAATTGGCTGTTTCCATCGATCCCATTCCCCTAACAGTTGTTCAGGACTCAATTCCACTTCATGTATATTTACACAGGTTAAAAATACTGGTCTTCAGTAAACAAACTTTGGATCTTGCTTTCAGGAGCAACTCCAAGATTGTGTCTATGCACTTAGGTAGTTATATGCTTATGGTGTCTTAATTTGATCAAGCAACTGGCCAAACTATTGTATTTATCTCTCCTTGTTGCATATGTAAGACGCTTATTCCTTAATTAGATATGCTGATAACCTAAGTGCAGAGATTATGAGGAGGTTTCCTTTTTTTTTTTTTCCCAGTTATGAGCCTGCTGCTGGGCACTTTTTAGGTGTCCTATAAATGTTGAATGAAATTGCACAATGGTCAGTTTGATTAAGCTTACCATCTCTTGAAAGCTGCTAGCCAACCTAATGCGAACTGTCTCCTCAAATTTCCAGCACTAAACTGATAACATGTTACCACTCGACATATCTTGCAGGCATTCTCAACATGAGACCTTCATGGCAATCAGATGCCCCTTTAGTATCCAGACCAATAGTTAAACCAAGATATGAGTATTTTCTTTGTCTCTACTATATTTCTGTATGTATTTGTGTGTGTGTTAAACTCTCACAAGCCAGAGCATCATGTTTACCAAGTTTATGATATAATAACCTCTCTAACAACACCCCCTCTTTCACATACTCTGCTACTCAACTCACTTTAGGCATTGTTATGTTGGTTTTGGGTGTCCAGAAAAGGAGGTAACTGGCTTGGAAAGAGTCAAGGGAGAAACAGTGTAATGCATTGGAGATGTTTAGCCTGTGGAAGAGAAACCTCAGTCAAGGCTTGGGAACAAGATTGCTGTCCTCAATATCTGAACAGCTGATGTATAGGAGAAGAATTAGACTTTGTTTCCTATGGCCCTGAAGAACAGAACTGAGTCTAGCGAGTGGAAAATTATAGGAACCCGTGTTGACTCAAGAGAAAGAAAGACTTCTCTCAAGTAGTATAAAACTCTTACTGTAATGATCAGAGTCATTCAAAGATGGGCCAGACTGCTTTATGAGGTAGAAGGCACCTCATCCCTAGACACGCTTGATCAGAGGTTGGATGGTGGGTGCTACTGTGAAGGTTATTCATGTTCTGGGAAAGGTGCTGGATTTGACAACCAACCAAGTCCCATTCGACATTGAGATGTTCACAATGCTCTGACTTAAAAAACAGGGCAAAGAATAGAACATTGTCACACTGTCACTCATTGATCCCAGAGGTTCCACTGCCCACTGTCCTTAGTGAAAAGCTATTATCATTAAGCAATGAATGCCACTACTACTAAATATGACATTCTTGTCATCTCATTCATTCTTCCCAGATGGTACCAGGTTATATGGTCACTCTGATTAACGTAATGAACCTAATAGCATTCCTTTATACTTGGTATTTTCAGCATTAAAGGAACATAGCCTTCCCAATACATATGTATATACAAAGCCTTTTCAAATCACTGGGTTCAGAGAAGGTGTCAGTTTGACAATTGAGCTCCTGTCTTATTTCCATGGCTGAAAGTTTTCTGATTCAACACTAGATTGTTCAATATGATCAGCCTAAAGTTCCCATTTACTAGTAGTTTTAAGCATCCATAGATATTGACAAATAGGAACCTACCTCTTTGCATTTCAAAGTTTTGTTCTTTCTTCGTCTCCTCTTTGTTTACCAATATGTCCTAAAAGAAGAATTGCCAAAAGTCATTTTGAAAGGGTTTTACAGGTATCATTCATTTGACATCTGTCATTACTCTGTTACCTATTTCTGGTGAGGATTAAGAGATAGACTCAGATCCTGTCATTAATACCATCATATCAATTGGGAGCCCAAGGCTCTGACAGATGAGCTGACAGCCCAGAAAGCCTGGGGGAAAATCTGGAAGCAAAACCTGGGCCTTATTATCTCCATTCCAGTGCTCTCTCCAGACCAGAGGCTACAATACTGACCCTTCCTATGACCCTGACCTCACTGGCTTTGACAGGTATCGACAAATAATGCTGAATAGGGAGATGATTCCTTGAGAACAGTGTATGGAATATTATTAAACATAAAGCATGGTGTGTAATCTCTTAGGAATAGGCAATAGTAAGTTTGGCCTTAGGAGAGAAATCTCAGTGTATGAAAAGATCTTCAGACATTTAAAATTTTGTTATCCCTTTCAATGGACTGAAGAGATTCTCTTGTTGATGGTTACCCTGTAGGGTCTGTATTTATTTAGAATAATCAGCAGATGATTTCTCAGTGCTGCTGACATCCAAAGGCAAATGTAACATTTCATAAAACATGTAAATGCACTCATAAACTTAAGGAAGGATAGAGGTACTTAAAAAAAAACTAATGGACCTTTATAAGCACAGTATGGAAGAAAATGAAGGCTGTAGCTGTATTGTAAAGAAACTGAACAAAACTCCTGGAGGGCCTAGCTGGCCAGTATGAGGTCCCCTAAAGAGTCTGAGACCTAAACCAAGATTAGAAACTGTGAGGTTCTATTCACAGGCTGGGTTCAACTCATTTCATCACTCTATACTTTGAACACAAAGAAGGAAGAAAGACAAAGAACATAGTATTTTCACATCTTCTGACAACCCAAGTCCTGTGCTTTTCCCCTTTCTTGGAATCAGTTGTCCATGGGGCCCTTTCTTTTCATTTCTCCTCTAGAAGGAATTTGTGTTACTACTAAGTGTCTTGCTAAGCTCAGCTCAATTGTCAGATGTGAGGGTGTAAGTCACAGAGCCCCAAGGGTAACCTGGGCCTCTGAATGCTCACATGGGCCGCAGAGCTTCAATTTTCCATTTGAGCTGAAGTGTAGCACTCTGAAAATGCAGTGATAGGAAAATGTTTGTGAGATAACAAGTAAACAAATGACTATTTAGTGTCTTTTCAAAAACTGGAGTGTGATGATCGAGGTTGAGATACTTCTGGTCTAGGTGGTTGCACTGATGTCAGGGGCTGGCTATGGTGAAAATGTGAAGTCAGCAAAGCTTGTCTTTTATGCACTCAGCCCTGCTTTTCTGTGAACTTTCCCCTAGCCACACTCCTCAGGCCCCCCCCTTTTTTCATGTTTTATTACCCATCTCAACTGAAAGCCTTTTTAAAGTTGACTTTCAGAAAATCTGGGATTCATTATTGCTCTCTTAGTGGAAACTCTATGTGGCAGTTATGGACAGTTTGCCCTTTAAGTCGAAAAGGAAATGCTCTGACTCTATGGAAGGCGTCTTGAGTATCGATGTGCAGATAAATCATGAAACGCGTCATTGTAGCAGGGTGTGGGGTGGGTAGTAAGCTTTAGTGCGAAATTATGTTATTCAAAATGGTGCCTCTGCATATTCTATAATAATATAAGCCCCAACTCCATCTTCCCCCAGAGTGATAGCTTGGTGCTACCTGCCTCCAGAGATAATATGCTCCTTGTCACTAAAGATTGGGTGACCACTCGGTATAGTAAGGGACAGTGAAGAGAAGACTGAAGTTCTCAATTGAGAATTGGATCTGATGAGTTCTAAGACTACATGAAGTCCTATGACTCAAAGCCCCCAGATTCAAGTCTGATGTTGCTCTGGACCGATCATACTGTGGCTCAGAAAGCATTAGCTGCATCAGCTAGCATTAGCTGAGCAAAACCAAATGCAATCTGGGGTTGTGCTATCATTGACCTACTGGCTTAAAAAATAATAAAGTCCAAAATACTGTTTTAGAAGAGAAATTTGGGAGAATGGCTATTGAAAAGAGGGTTGCTCATTGGAGGAGGATTGGGTACCTGGAGGATTAACCATTATGTATACTCCAGGTTTAGACGGCCTTGACCTAGGGTTCCACACCATCTGCAATAGAGGCAAGGGACCTCCTTGGTCACATATAAGGAGATCACTAGGGTCCCATTAACATGCTGAGAATGTCTGCCTTTTTGGAGTACAAAATCTCAGAGGTGTCACTTTCCTCATGCAAGCACAAGCAGGGAGGCCAAACCAGCTATTACCCTTACTCCTATCCTGGGTAGCTAATTTTTGGAACCTTTATATATTCCACCTGAAATAAAGATGTGAGAATTGGCAGTTCAGCTACAAATCTTTCAGTAAGAAAGAGAGGAAGGGAAAAAAACCCAACAGGGTGCTCTCACTACCATTGGAGGGAACTATAACGATCGCGTAATTACAGAATGTCGGAGCTGGTAGATCCCTTACAGATAACCTCAGCTCTCTCTAGTTATAGATGAGAAAACTGAGGCTCAGAGAAGTGAAATCATTTGGCCAAGGCCACATGGCCAAACACATTCAATATGCTATTTGAATTAATAACCAATGGTTTTGAAAGTGCCTCTTTTCACATTTAAGTTGACAATACCTCTCAATACCCTATAATACTAATCAGACTCTTCAAAGAATTAGAGAAACTCAAATTATTTTCTGAGCTGGCCAGTCTTGTAAATAAAAGGTTAGGAGTTTCTTTTAAAAACCTAGATTACTGTAAAGAATTCAAAAGCCAGTGGAAGACCGATACCTCATTCTGATCCCCCTCATAGGTAACTCAGGAGTAAGTTCTCAGAGTCTTCACTACTGGGTTAACATCAGTGACAGCACAGGATGGGAATAAGCTCAGAAATAAGGTCTTAAGCCCTTTACTCCCACACTAAATTACACATCATCTACATGTGAAAACTAATTCCTGTTGGTTAATCCACATACTCATTCACCTGGCTGAGAGCTGCCCTCTATGTGGAATGCTGTTTCCTAGACATGACCCCTAAGTGAGTTTAGGGCAAAGGGTGTTTGACTCTGTTTTATGAGAGGCAAATGGGTAGAAAGAATTTTGATGTTCTGTCTTGAAGGAGCCCCTAGACCCCATGTCTGCTATGATGGAATTAATGTAAGTGTTCTAAAAAAAATCTCACTTTAGGTACCTATTATTGGTCTCAGTCACTACAACCACTTCATGCTGGCTGCCAGCCTGGTGGACTAGAACACTTCAAATCCTCTCTGCCTTTTGTCATAACTGTCCCTAGAGTAGACTGACTTCATGAGCAGGTGGTATTAAAGGGGATCTGGTTTAAATGGCACTGAGAATGCCCATTCCCCAATCCCATACTTCTCCCCACAACAAAGGGGAAAGAGCTCCCTTTCACAGCCCCTGAGTTCCATCATTGGGGAAGCACCGGAGACTGCGTCAGTCTACTACATGTCATAGTAAAGGCAATACCTTCACTAGTGGCCTGCCAACACAGCAGTGGTCAGTGGTTTCCCTGAGAAATGGAGATCAGAGCATGAGTCCCCAGTGGGAAGACATCGGGTTTAGATGGGAAGACATGGAAATATGAAATCCGAACTTGGTGCACGTCATAATTTTGCCCAGCGTCAGCTGTATGCGTGAGCTCGTGAGTGTCTGTGAATATGCCCATAAGAGTGTTTATTTCCTCCCCCCCCAAAAAAAGAACCTCTTTTTGTTCTTATCAAGTAAGAATATAAACACTTTTAACTTTCCTTTTCCTCTTAACATAGGGCATTGGCTTCCATTTTGCTTTTTTTTCGATTCACTCTCACACATACACATCCATACTCATAAATATATGAGGGGACTTCAAACAGTTCATGGACAAATGCAATTAAAGTATGAGTTTACTTCAGCGCAAAGTAATTTTGAAATCCATGCTGAGTTTTTTCATAATGTGCATTTTCTATGAACATTTTGAAGACCTCTCCTATGTATGCATGAGTATGTATATACAGTTAAACGTGTATATATACATATCTATAAATGTGTGTGTGTGTATGTGTGTATCACAAATATTTGCATTTTTACACTGTCGAGGTCTAGTCGCCCAACCTGGCAAATGGAGTAAAACTTTTCAATGACCCTTTTACCAACAACGAAGCTCTTTACCTTGAAGAAGCCTTCAAACCGGCTTTTAATTTCCTCACAGTTCAATAAGGATAAGGACCCATCTCCTTTGTTGCATCTTTGTATCGTTTTCATGAATACAAAATCTTCATGAAGATTCCTTTCATCTTCGATCTAGTTTGAAATAACAGGGATATGGGAAATGTCACTCTGAAGGAGAATGCAGCTAATGGCGTCTGCCTCCCATTCACTTCCACAATATTGATAAAAAGAGAAGGACTTTGGAGGCATAAATGGGAATGACAAGTTATTATACTGAATTATTGCTATTGGGTATTTGCAGTTTAAAAATACTGCAAAACCAGTGACTAAGGTATCATATATTATCTGAAACCCTAGGTAGAAATCACAGCAGTTCTAATGAACTTTCATCACAACGTGTCCATTTTTTCACTATGCCAAGCAACAATATTCTATAATTGTCATATTTCCCATTGTTCCAATTATGATTAGTCGCTATAAATACCAGCCTATAAAATAGTTTTCTGCTGGGCTAATGTGCTTACTTCATTTTACTGTTTATGAGGCGGTGCTTTATAAAAAAGAAGTTAATTTGCAATGCCACATATGTCAATTAACTTCTGTTCTAATTACCTGTCTCTCTTGTTCTAACTATTGCTCTCTTTCGTTCTAACTTTAGTATTTGTAGAAAACATTTGCATTTTGAAAGAAATCATCTTCCATCCCAAAGTTAATGAGATAGTATATCCTCCAGTGTCTTAGAATGATTAAACATATGGAATTCATAGGCATCATAAATTAATTTTGTGCCATTTTATTGTTTTAAGAACAGATTTTTTTAGACTGATAATAAGATCGGTTGGCTGACAGCTTTCACTGCCAATAAGAGTACATCTAAATGCTGTGGGAAATTTGATTCTACTCAAGTTACTATTTCTCCTTTAGAGACTAGGCCTATGTTCAGGCATTTGATTGACAGAGCCCACCAGGTCAAACATAAATAAACAAACATCCAGACCCAGAACCCTTCAGCGGTGGGGTTTTTCGCAGCAGTAAAACCTACAATTTGAGACACCCAGTGGATCACCTCAATCCCTCACCTTATCCTGATGGAAAGCATCATAGCTTTAATTGTAGGTCTGCTCCCCAAGACAGGACACACAAGCATCCCTGAGAAAATTCCAGATGCTGTCCAGTCACATTTCCCATATCCAGACCTTTAGGAACAGCCAGTTAATTGATCAACTTTCTCCTTTTCATCTATGATTGGTATTTTGTCAACATAGTCAATAAAATCCCTCAGTGGAACCGGACAAGTACACGGAAACAGGATAAATTCTGATGGTCATCTTTTCCTAAGTATATAAAACAACCTACTAATTTACTCTACTCTTTTGCTCTTGTAAGTCAAACCATTTAAAAATGTAAAACATCTCAGAGGAAAACCGAGCAATTTTCAAATATAACCAGTGTTTGAAGAATTATATAGAAATCTGCTTTTACAAAAAGACTGCAAATTCTGGGATTTAGTCATCTGTAGGTTAATCGGAGGCACTATGAATTTTCAGATCCAATTTATGCTCTCCTTCCCTGCTTGTAAATTTAAAGAAAAATGTCTCCATCGGAAAAGTAAAGCTTACTTTTTAAGCAAAACTTTAACAAATAATTACAGTTAGTACCTAAATAGGCACTGTTCTAAGCTCTTTAAAAGGCTAAATACATTTAATCTACGAGGTAGTTAACATTACTATCTCTATTGCTCAGATATGGAAACTGAAGCATAGAAATCTAAAATAACTTGCCTCAGGATCACAGAGCTGGTAGGGGCAAAGTCAAGATTTGAACCCAAGCAGTCTGATTCTAAATCCCAAGATCATAACTAGATTTAAGAATATGAGACTTCACTCACTAGACCGCAACCATAATACAAAACCATATATCTAGTTTTGCCATCGTTCATCATTTGGGTAGAACTAAAACCAACCTATCCCCAAATCAATACGGACTCCAAATTTAGTTAATAAAAACAAGTGGTTCACCTTACCTTGTCCAACCTTCTAAGAAGATACACAGCAAAGAGTGCCGACCCAATAATTTGGGTGATAACAAAAATGGTAAGTAAATACATAAAAATTTTCATGCTGACAGGAGGTCCAGTGGCCACAGATCGGGGAGAAGATTGGCTGTACGTTTCGATCATGCTGTGTTAAAGTTGAAATGGTATCTTCTGACGGAGAGGATGGCGGAGGCAGCATGAGAAGACTGTCAAAGTGGCCACCTTACCCAGGATTAGTTAAGAGCACACAATCGTCGCAGCCCACACTTCCTGGAAAATGTGCTTCGTAGTATTCTCTCCTAGCAAAAAAGTTACGTAAAGGTTTTTTTTTTTTTTTTCTCTCTAAATTATACCCATATCATTCACTTCCAGGCTTTCCTTTTTTTAGTAAAGAAGAAACAAGTTTCTTCTTCCATACATTCATTCTTGCCTTGAAATGTCATCGACTTAACAGACAATGGCAGTATTTTCCTATTGCTGTCTAACTTTCTGGGTTCACCAGTTTCAAGGAAAGTGACAAATTCATCCACTAGCAACAGACTTATTTCATTTTCAATCTTACTCATATAAAGTGGGAACCTGGCATATGGGGAGAGAAACAAATGTCAACAAAAGTTTGGATAGATTTTTTGACTAGTAGGCCACCATCTAATTGCTTCTCAGGAACTTTACTTCTTTAATCTTTAAATTCAATGAAATCCTGTCACCTCATCAAGTCAAGTCTGCATGGCATAAAGCAAGAAAGAGTACTGGCAATTATCAAACAAAATTTAGCTGGAAAGATAACGCAAGAAAAATGAATTTCTCAAAGGCAAAGATAAATAAGATTTTGAGAGAAATCAGGCCAAAATGTTGGAATTGCGGTAAAAGTAGGAATGTTAGTTTCACTTAGTTGACTTGCTTGACTACACTGTTCCATCCCATTAGAAAATGGCTTATGTTCTGGACCAGCAGTTGGTGTAATGGCTATGTCGCTGGACTTCCGTGTAGTCAACTATGGTTCCAGTCCTGGACCCAGTGGCTTAAACTTATGCCAGGTGCGTGTGCGTGCATGCCCAAGATCCTGTGAGGAGAATGGAGGAGAAGGAATTGTGGCGTGGCCATCCCCCCGGGGGTTATTTCTCACTTTCTGTCTCTCTGTGTCTTTCTAGCGAGCACACGTGCCCTATAGCAAAAATCTCTCCAAAAGAAAAAAGAAAATGGCTTATGTTGCTGTAACACTGCAGAACAGGGAACACACAAATGCTTTAGTTAAGAGGCCTGGATTCTAACAAATCACTCCCTTCCTCTAGAGCTCAGTTTCTTCATATTCAAAGGGGCCAGTTGCACTTACCTTTCCTATCCCACAGGCTGTTGTGAAAATTGAATAAAAATGTTCATGAAAGAGATTTGAAATGTGTTAAACAGTAGAAAACACATCCTGAATTTTTGGAATTTGCTTAGCCAGTGCATGAGTTTTCCAGATAATTGTCAACTTCTTATACAATGGTTAAAAAAAACAAAAACCAAAACAAAACACAATAACAACATCAAAAATAACCGAAGTCTTGGCTAGAAATTGAATCATTGAGGTGTAAGGATTACACATTTCTGAACAGTAACTGTATCATCTTATCAGATAGCCTTCGAACTAAAAGCATCTATGGAAATCCCTACCCCATATCCCAATCTGATCTAGAAACTACGGTAAGATTGCTTTGGTGATTCCTATAAAATTGTTTTTAGAGACAAATAGGAAATGTAAAACTGCTCTGACAGGCATGCTGTCTGTATACTTAGCACCTGCCTTCTTCCCCACCCACGCCCCAGCATCCTGTCCTGGACCCAGATCTGTGTAGCTTTTCACTACATCTGCCAAGTAGGTGGCTTCAATGCACGTGATAAACTTTGATCAGTCAAGTCAGAGGCTTCAGTTCTTAGACAAGTAACCTTAGTTCCACTGAAGGAAAATTATCACAAGAGCCAAAATAGGCTCAAGGACTTCTCCAAGGCCAGTTTCATACAATTGCAGAATGCCAGAGCTGCAAAGGCCCTGTAATCAGCTTAGATGGAGAGGATGCTGAAGGGACCACAAGATGCAATGTCAGGATTTGTTCATGAGATCAACTTCACAAAAAAATCATTGGCCAATCTCCCTGCCTCCACTTCCGATCTCCGGCCTCCTTCAGTCTGACCTTCTGCCCACAATATTTTCCTGAAATAGTTCCCATCATGAGTTTTACAGCTCAATAATGGCTTTGGCTGAATACTTTTGAGTTCTTTTTTTTTTTTTTGGTGGTCTCTCTTCTTTTGTTGACCTATGACCTGTTGTTATCCTTCTGAATACCCTGTCCTATTCAATTCTATACCATCATATTATGGGCTTTGCCTTTCAGAATCCTTCTTCATATGATCCCTTTAAAATACTGGTATTCCCTACCCCTTCTCTTCTCCTCTCAGTTCTGCTCCCTTCCTTTCTTCTCTCCTCCACTCTCCTCCCAGCTAATTGCCCAGGCCAGGGACCTGGGAGTCACTCATTATTTCTTCTCTTTTGCCCCAGATTGCTCCCTGGAACTGATGGCTTATTATTCCCAAAAGCTTCTTGATTGCCACCACTTCTCTCTACCCCCACTCCCCTAACACCTAGTACAGGTCCACATATCCTCTTGTTTGTAGATTACTGAACGGTACCATCCTAATATACCCCCTGACTTCCCTTCCATCCGTACCCCACCCATCATCCACACAGCCAGAAGAATGTTAATTCTGAATCTTATCATTGGCAATATTATCATAATCTGATTTGACTCCCTAACACTCTGTCCCAGACCCAAGGAAGCATATTGACATAGTGCCCTGGCATGATCAACCTGAATAGGATTAGCTTGAGAATGTTTGTACTTCAGTCCTTGAAGCCTCCTCTTTTTCCTGCTCTTCTTCTGCATGGTCCTTTGGCTTGGAGCAATAACTGGCTACCTTTCCAGCTTCCAAACCTTTCTCCATTTTCTCATTTCTCAATTAATCAGAAGTCCTATGGGTCAGGACTGCCCATATCTATCTTTTCCTAGTAAGGAGTGGGCTGGTCATGGTGCTGGGGCCTTTTTAAAATATCTTCAGCTGCCTAACATACAGAAATGATCCTCAAACTTAGTTTTCAATAGGTTTGTAGATCCATGGAGTGCATGAAAATGTAACCATAATAAAATAATAACTATATTTGTCTTAGTTTACAGAAATAATTAAGTTAATGGGCTGAATGATCTTTTCTGTTTTCTGACATAGAATTTTCTTAAATCTCTGTCACCCTCTTCTAGTACTGCTTTTCTGCTGGTTGGTGATTGATCCCTAGCAACTAAATATTGAAGGGAACATTTAAAAAAAATGAACAACAATGGATCATACTTCAGCAGGTTGTTTTTGGTGTGAATATGCTTGTGGTTGTGATTTTATATTGATAACCTAGAACACAGTCATAGTTTCTGCTAGGAAAATGATTTCCAGTACATAGGAAAGAGTTAAATATATAAGCATTTTGTTTCTTCTATAAAAGGCTTCACACAGACTCTTTTCCCTGAATATGTCTAGAAAAACTCTAGCCTAGAGGATAGAGTCTCAATTCTTCGTAAACCAAATGAGCTGACTCCTGCCCACATTTCTCTCCTCATTCCACCACTCATTAATGCTCAACCCCGAGCATCAAGCATAATTAAGCTGGTTTTACTTCCCTAAATGTGCTGCTTATGCATGCTGTTTCCTGTGCACAGACTGATTCCCTCCTCTCTTACCCATTAATGTAGAAGTGAAATGTCCCCTTCCAGCCAACCAGTTGCCCTATTCTTTGTTTAATCTGTTACAGCATTTGCCACATCACCTAACTGACTAGTTCGTTTTGTCTACCATTAGCTCCTAGAAGAAAGAGACACATTTTTTTGAAATCTCAGAATCCATGGTTCCTGACACATGGTAAGGAATTAATAAATGTTTGCCAAGTTACTAAATTGTCTTTTAAGGGGATAGAAGGGGAGGTCGTAAAACATTCTAACCCGGTAGGATAACACTGGGCAGCCTTTCTAGCGATGCAAATAATAATACATTTAAAATTTCTTCTATTACTTTAATTATTTCTTTTTTCTCTGGAGTCAGTTCCATTTATTTATTCTGGTCTCTCTCTTTCATGTTCATAGTTTTCCTCAAATGTCTGGTGATCTTTAGTTGTCTGAATATATTTATGAATGAAAAACTGTGCTGGTTATCATGGGTAGATGGCACGGGTTTCCCCTGTAATTGGTGTTAGTCTGTTTCCCAACAAACTCTGGAATGAAAGTGCTGACTGTGGGTTCTGTTTAAGCGGGTAAGGACTGTCAACAGGCAGGCTTCCCTTTAGGTTCTGTGGTTGGAGAGACAGGAAGACCAGGGACCCCCACTGCTGATAAAGAAAAGAGGGTTTTTCTCTGGGGGTGGAGCCCTTCACCAGGTTTCATTCTCACCTAGGGCTGGCTTTCCTTTTGTTTTCTTACTCCCATTTGTTGAGGAAGTCGCAGCACTCTCCCTAGAGCCCTTCCCAGGCAACTTTAGCCAGAGAGTAAAGGCCAAATGTGGCTGCTAACAAATGGTCCACTGGGGGAAGGGAGAAAGGGGAAAAAGGCTCTCCCTGTCCCAGCTGTTTCTACTACAGCTCTTTAATGAGTTAACCTAATTAATTGCTTGTTAGCCTATCGCTGCTCTCCACATTTATTTTCTTTGAGATTGGCATTTCTTTGAGAAAACATACTTTGACTTTGATGCCTTGAATTGCAACATTTTCTGCTCCATTTTTCTATTAGTCTTAAATTCATTGCCTTTCTTGCTTCCTGGTATTCCTCAAAATTTATGTTTCCATTGAGACCACCTTTTCTTGTTTCCCATAGTGTTTGTGGTTCCTTTCTTTTTACATTTACTTTTGATAAAGTAATACATTGACAAACTTAAAAATGTAAGATACAAAAGATTATGCAATGCAGTTTTCCTTCTACTCCTTCCTGATCTTCCATGTCAATCGCTGTTGTCAGTTTCTTAGGTCTCTCCCAGAGATACTTTTAAACTCCTTTAAGGATATTCCCTTTCAAGTCCTTTTTCTTTTCTTTTCTTTTTTCTTATCTTTACCTTTTTTTTCCTTTTCTTTTAAGTTGACACAGGGGATATGACCTCACCAGAGACAGAGAAGAAGAGAAATATTGAGAAAGTACCCCCCAAACAGGGCCTGGTCAAGCCACAATCATTTTTTCCTTCCATTTCTTCATCTCAACAGAATTTAGGGCATGTAGATACATGTG